GTGCAGTACGTTGTTTATGCACCGTCCGATGTCCGGCGCTTACTTTAAGATTCGTCTGGCTCTTGTGCGCATGAGATGATCTCTGGGTGATGTTTAGATCTTCTTTGTCGATCTTAAATTATATGCATCCAGCTTTACTTGATCCCTCTTCAATCTGGTGTGGTGTCTCGGTTGTCTGCCTCTACATGTACACTAATTGGTGCTGGCACGCGCATTTAAACGAATATAGTGTCGCATCATGACCCGAAACTCAGTGCTCCACTTTTACTCCCGATTGATGTACTTTTCAAAACACTGATATCAGCTTGACTTTGCATTGGTCGTATACACACTGTACGAAAATGCTTGCATTCAAGTTTAAAGGGAAATTAATCCCTAATCCTTTTTATTGTGACCACTTGATATTGGCGGGCATTCAGTAATCTTCTGACCCCTGTATTCTTGGAATGGCCTTTGAATCCCGCATGTATGCTGCCCATTGTGACAATTTCTTCTGCCTGGGAGGAGTTGGAGCGCCACACAAATACACCCACTCTACGACCAACGGCTTGTTCTGCCTTACAAGCATGGTATTCTACCCGCGATATGGATTTAACCAAAACATTGTGGCATCGTGCGCTTCACCACCAGTTAAGGGAACGCACTAAGTTCAGCTGACCCCATGTTTTTTATGGAAGGGAAGAAGGATTGTGTTTGAGCTTGGCTCCAATGCAAGCCGCCGCGTACAAGGGAAAGACGGATCTTAAATTGAATACCAGATATCCAACGGCCATATATCAAAGCATTACAATCGTAGTACCTTGTTTTTAAGGTTATTGTTGAGGCATCAAATGCCCTTAAATGAAGGTACCCCAATAATGCTTAATAGACTCGTAGATTTAGACAGACTACTTGCGGTGGCTTATATAGCGTCGCGAGACTTCCTATAGGGTGGAAGAAGGCAGTAAGTGAGGCTGGGTACATGTATTCCGAAGAGAACAGACCATATTGGTCCGAAGACCAACCCACACATACGAGGATCAGACCACTCTTGAAGTGACCGCTGAACATCAGGTAGTCACATAAACACAGCATTATAGCTTATACTGAAGGTGAAAATGTTTCCTACCTTCCTACATCTTGTGTCTCAATACTGCTAAATGTAGTAAGGTTGTCGAGAATCAAAACAACTAAGGAAAATTAGCAAACTAAAACCTGGTCCCTCCACGATTTTTAAGTCTTAGTTGGTTTCGTGAATATGAATATGAATATGAATATGTATGGGCTAAATGGCTGTCAGCAATTGGTCCGATAGGTAGGCATTGCTTAGCCTTTCGTTATTGTTATTGTTTTGTCATTGACGTTGGGTGTTGCTTTCTGTGCGTTTTTGGGGCTGTGAAACTCAGGTTACGGTAAGTTATATATTCTTTTATCCATTGAAAGTTGTGGTTTGTGGTGTTTTCTCGTTTGGGGCAATTTGGTTTTTGTGAAAGTTACCATTCTGATTGCATCCTTGCCTTTTGGAATGAAAATCTTTTATTGCAATCATTTGTTATGAGGTTGTAGTAGAACTTTAACAGACTTTGCTTTATATTGGCTTTATGTTCTTTCCTTTGGGTAGCTGTTGTTCGACCCTGTCACTATAAACGATGACCAAAAGGACGTTTGTTCCCCTCTTCACTGAAAGCGGTACAGGTAGAAGCTCGGCTGTGCTTCTGCCAGGTCGCCACCCATGCCAGTGTCTTGCCGTTCGTCATCGCCTCATAGGTAATTGCACTAACTGTGGTAGGATTGTCTGCGAACAGGAGGGCTCGGGTCCATGCTACTTTTGCGGTGAATTAGTGGTATCTCCAGAAGAACGACAGATCATTCAGACAGACACCGTTTCTGCAAGAAAATTTCGTGCCAAAATTATGTCAAACCCTTGGGCTCCTGGCACTCCCACACCACCCTACGTTGCTAGCAGACGCCCCCGGAAACGGTACGGTAAAATCCGAAGCCGTAATCCGGAAGACGGTGTTGTGGACGGATATTCGACAAATTCCCTTGAAAATTTAGATGAAAATGAAGTTACAGTGGAACTAGAATGCGACGATAATCTTCCTCCTGATATTGACGCCCAGTCACGATTAGAAGAAGGTATTTTGACCCATTATAGTACTTTCACGGTTATCGAACAGGTCTGATAAAAGCGGTAATACAGCGGGATCGGCTTTTACACTTTGATGCGACAGCGGTCAAGCGCACTCGAGTGATAGATGATGAGCTAGACTATTTTGTTAGTGAAGGCACTGGGGCGGGCGCTGTGTGGCTGGATCCAGACACACGGACTCGTATTGCTCGTCGGGTGGAGGAATTACGTGAGCAGCGACTCCTTCTTCGCTCACAATCTGCTTTCGGGCTCAGTATCGACTTCAACAGTATGACGATTACTGAGCAGGTATTTCTGAAAGAATAAATAAACGAGGCATAATTAGAACTGACACTGAAAGTTGCTAACATTAAACAAGAAGTAGACCGGCGTTTCATTGGCTAGTCCAACATTCGCGGTGGTCAATGCAGGACTGTGGGCTGGTAATTTTGCTTGCTGGGAGTTTTCATGCGTATACTGGGGGTTTGAATCACTCAAATATCACACTAGGATGTACGCTAGTTCGTCATCGTTCTACTACATGCTGTGATATGCCATACTTTAATGCAGCCGAAGTTTGCCTTAATCACATGTAGCCATCCATGAACTGGGAATTTAAGCTCTCGCTAGAGGTAAGTCCTGACCATGGTGTGTGTAGTGAAATGGCTACCTTTCATAGGACTGAAAAGTGGAAAAGCCACTTCTTTACATGTGTAGCGCCTTTTTGTGGTTCACGACACAGTTGCGTGCAATGCCACAATAAAGGACCATTACCGCTGCCAGCATGACCAAAAGCGAATTGTGATGAGGCGGGTTCTCAACGTACATCAAGTTGGCGTTTGAAGGGCAAAGGGGTGTTTTAGTTCGTGGTCTCTTCGGTCTTCATTGTCTCCATAGGATCTGCGTAAACAAATGTCGGGACCGACTGAAAATGATCTAGCAGAACTGACTCTGCAGAATCAGAAACAGGACAACAAATCAGCTTTGGGCATTTCGGATCCCCTCCTAAATGTGCCCACGCCGCAGGTCGTAAACGTTCTCTCTTACCTTTGACGCAACTGTCAATAGCATTTTATCATCTTGGTCACTATGTCTTTGTCATTCTAGTTTATGCCTCAGTCTCTTCAGATGAAAATTACCGAGAAGCCAGTACTGAGGAAGGGTATGCAACCTGGTGGACGACTGGAATCAACTAGAGTGCAGGACGCTGACCAACAGAGGTTGGCTGATCGTGGCCTCTGTCTCAGTTTGCATCAGCCCTGGGCCTCCTTGCTGGTTCGAGGTGTAAAAACGTGAGTATTGCTCCGATGATTGTTTCTCAATTCACTTATTTTATGTGCTTCTAAGGGTTTCTCTACCTAATCCTTCTTCATTTTGACATCTGTATTCAAACATGTGCACTGTTGTGCCTCAGAATTTACACACGAATGAGCACAGTGGCAAATTGATTTGCCGTCCAGGTGTAAAACGGCCGAACCCTTCAAACACTGGTGGTAATCATGCGTGCACATATGATTGGCGAACTGGTTACTATGTCCACTTACCCACAATGCTAGGTAGTTTTTTTGCATGCATGCGCGTGAAGACGAAACGTGAACTAATTAAAAGATAGTTCTTACTCACGTCTTGACTCGGGATTCTTCATCCACCTTTTACTTTAAACGCATATAGCTACTTGCGTATCTATATGCTGGTGCTATGCACGTACGCATGTAGATACACACGAAGTCGTGAAGCATTACTAGCATGAAAAACAAATTTGTATACCGAGTCGAAAGAAGAGAACGTTTAAATAACTGCATTTGTCGCACTACTCTCCACCAGCTTCCCTAGAATGCGGCTTATCGCACCTGTTTTCCAAGCTGAGGTAAAGATAGATTCGCTTGTATATCATGATGTGCTAGCTCATCTAAGGACGCTCATCATTTCATTCTCTCTCCCTTCCGCTGAAAACGACTTCAGTCACGAAGGTCGTTCGTGGTACTCGGCACATCGGGGACCTCTCTGGATCGCAGCTACCGCAAAGACTCCCGATGACGAGGAAGTCCACGCAGTGGAAGACTTCTATCTGGACCGAGGTGGATTAGTTTATTTGCATTCCTTCTCACCTTTACGGGCGCTTATTCTTTTGCTTTAAGGCTATCATTATGTTGATCACCACACTAACTGTCCTGGTTACTCTATCTTCAAACTCTTCAACTCTTTTAGATTTCTGCGTACCCATCTGTTTTAAGCATAGATTTTATTCAGTACCTTGTAAAGGGAAGTAGATGTCATTTTCAACCTTTTAGGTTCCAGAAAAACGGATTTTCCGACAACCTACCCCACCGGTGTTCTTTTAGGCTGTCTCAACGTAGACGATGTTCTACCACAGAAGGAATATCGCCTGAAGGTACCTCAGGGCTTGCTTTTAAGAAATTGAATTGTAGCACTTTTCAAGGCGTTTCGAGGTCTGGATGAGATTTAGGGTTCTGGAACTCATATATGACCTTGCTGCATAAACATGCTTAATCACGCGTAAATTATTTGAGAAACTGTTCTATACCTAGTGGGAGTCAACACTGTGATTTGTGTTCACCGTGCAAAAATGGAGCGATCTGTATCGCGCATCAATTTTTATGCACCATTTTGATGTTTCGATGAATGACGGCCGCGTCGCGGATTGGGAGCCGTCGTGCTTACACTTGCCTCGCCGTATGCACACGTGGCTGTCGTCGATGGGTTCAACTGTTTTGCCTCTGAGCTTCACTTCGTTGTGGTGTTTCACTTTGCATCATAGTGGAAGTTGTCTGCAGTCGCGAGTGCATACCTGCGAGTTCGGGTTTTAGGCTTTCGTGGCAGCGAAAATATTGCATTTCACGGGGTGTCGCCTGCGTGTAGAAGTATGATTACTTGTCATGAGTGAGAAGTATATGTGAGATCGACGCTCGGTATCAGCTATGTTTATTGGTTCCATTCCACAATCCCCTCACAGAATTCTATGCTGAGTGTAGAATCTCTAAACTGGTGTTTGCTAATGTGGTCGTAATCCAATCTACAGGACACGCGCTTGAGGTACAAGTTGAAGGTTGAGGAAAGACCATGGTGAAGAGTGCTGGGTAGTACTTTAAGTATCCTCCGCTCTCCTTCCTGTATTGAGTGCGTCACATTGTCTGCTGTTTGATGGCAACATTTGAGCACCACTTAATCTTGCTAGTTTGATTTTCGTTCTTCTGTAATTGTGATGCCATTTCAAAAGTTTCATCGTATCACAACGCAACCCACGTTTAGTTCCCCGATGGCGAATCCGAGTCTCCCTACGTCTTTATCTGCTCGGATCCTCGTGAACTGCTCATCAAGTTGCCAATGAAAGGACGCCAAAAAATATGTATGTCCTGATGGTCTCATTTTTGAATATTACAGCATCTGCAACTTTCGTCACGCAGGTTGTTAACAATTTGTAATGTACTGATAAGGTCAGTAAACTCGACATAACTGCTGTTTCGAGAAGTGAACAAGTCTTGAGACATCGCCCGTCAAATGTAACACAATTACGAAATCGCTTGCATTTTGCAGATCTTGCATATACCAGTGAATGCAATTCACAATTTGAATGTGCTCTCCTACTCTTGTTAGACCGTCTCGAGGCCCACATTCACGTGGCGGCCAAGGAAAATCTCACTTGACTGCATCACAATCCGACACGGCTGATCAGGCTTGGTTTTCAATCTGTGGATAATGTTTGCCTCTGAACTATCTCAAAGACCCTCTTCACAAGGGTCTTGCAACTGCATTGCGAGCAAGAACATCTCCATTTCCGTATTGTACCTTGCAAATTTCGATGAGTTAACAGCTTCATCCATGCCTCTTGTGTCAAATGTTGATGAAAATGACTTGAGTTCAAGCTGCATGCTACAGCCACGCAATTCGTTGTACAGAGCACCACATGGGACCAATTCGTCAAATGTGAAGCCACTGAAAACGATGTGAGGTAGTTTTATGAAAGCGATTGTCTACACCTACCTATTCTCAAGAAATTACATCCTCTTCGTTTTGGCATATTTGTGTATTTAGTCATTTTATGCTTAGTGGGACATTCGCGTACAGCAGCTTCGATGAGGATCTTTTAGTTGTTATTTTAGAACGCAAGATTAGGCCACATGCAGAAACCGATGTGACTTGGTAAATCCCTCCTTGTTGAGACGGAGATTATGCACTTGCCTACAACAAGGTCCCCTAACATGGCGTCTAGTATTACAAAGAGTGCCCTTTCCTTGCCTCAGGCTGCTTTCACGTGAACACCATTATGAGTGTCCACCATGAAGCAGCATGGCAACAACAAACAAGAATGTCACCCTCTGCTTTACTCACATTGCCGACCAATCCTTCAGTAGGAGCATTCAAAAACAAAAAAATCTTGACTAGCACAACTCTGCTTATCAATAGTTGATGGTCACGAACTTGGCCTCTTAGGTCGTTATTGCAAGATAACTCATAATAGAACATTGCCATACACACATGTGCAGAGGCATTCTTCAACTAGCGCAAATGATGCTTTGGATGTGCATGTGTGAAGATTTAAATGTGTTTATCAGCAGCAAAAATTTCATGGATTGGTACCGATTAGAGGATGTAAGTCCGATTTAGGAGGTACTCAGGCTCTAGATTGGGAGAAATATTGTGTGTTTCAAGTCCATATTTAAAACCGTTCGGCACAATGCTCACAAATAAATTCCCACATTTGAGAAAAAAGATCTTGATCAATAAAAGAAATCTGCAAATCTATCATAAATGGCTATCAGCACAGGTCCAAAGGGCGACGACTTGCCATTTCCAAGTCCCCAGTGCGAATGTATTACCAGCTGAGGAGGTTTACAAAGTAACAGCGAGTTTTCAGCCCATCCAGGACATTCGAGAACATCCATCAGCTCCCCAGTTTGCAACTGCCAAACGCCAATGGCACCGTACTTCTCCATCGCCGTCGCTACAAACGAATGCGAAGGGCAGTCCACCACTGGGTTTGGAGGTATGCCACTCTTCACAACCTCCTTTGACTCTTTATAAGTCACGGCCGCGCGTCTCGGCTGTCGATCATCCCATAGCTCCACTGAGCCATCGACTCGTCCTACGATTATACCAGAGCGTTTGTTATCTGCTGAGAGGAGGCACTGCAGATGGGTAATGCGGGAGGCGCTCACATCGCCAAAACTAATAAGCTCTCGCTCTCTTCTTGCTGATGTGAAACTAAGAAGGCTAAAAGCTTTGCCAACAGAGACATATGCGTCTAATCTCCTCGTAGTTCCTGCGCAGCAAGCATTACCCATGGCAGTGAAGGAGGCGTGCGGTAAGTATTTGGAGAGAGATACGTGGGGCATCTTTCGCAATTCTGACAGCGTTAACAAAGGGACAAGCCGCGGTCCAAGAGAAGATATGGTCCGTCGGTTATAAAACATTATAACCGAATCTTCTCCACGTTCTAAAAGCGATTCTACCGATGAGGCGTAGGATCTAAGAGCTCTTCTAGGAAAAACAGAGTCCGAATATTTCCTTGGAAGATCAACTGTCTGTAGCAATTGGTAGTCCCCTATATTACCTAGAAAATACGAACAAATTTCATCTACTGATAGCCTTAGAAAATGAGGTGGAGTTGGCTTGATGAGGTTCTTTGTTAGCGATAGGTTCGGTACATACAAATAAAAAAAGATAAATTCAAGTTTACTCAAAACCCACCATCATATCTGACAGAGACCAATCTTCTAGGGGACAAGCAGATGATATTGTTTGTTGAAGGGTCCAACATGGCATCCATGCAGCTATGGAAATAGCGGTCTTGACTTCGATGAATTGTGTCGATGATTTTAAATCCTGAATGATTTGAGCGACTCTCACCTCGAGTCCATTGTACTTCATATCGACGCAATTCACAAAGTAGCATTCTGCTAGAAATTATGTGAAGTATACGAGCAGAATCACTTTCGACAACAGCTGGGCGAATAATAGGATAGCTGAAGCTTAAATGCTGCTTATGCTGCAACACTTTCATGTGCAGTTTCTTAAAAAGGTCTAAAAAAATTATGGTAGTGGCGTAGCAATAATAGAGAACCAAGGTACATCAAGCGCTATTATATGCAATGAGATCTTACCGGACTTGATTGGGTGTTTCGAAATCGCGATGTTTCGCAGCTCCTGAACAATATTCTGCGAACGTTGCTTATTAAGCTTTGCCTTTAATTTGTTCAAGGCACACTCCCGGAGATGCACGTTATTCATCTCATTAGGAACATTTTCAAGAAGGCGTGCATCCCAGTAATTCGGTGTTTTGTAATAATTATCCTGCTTCGGATCGTAATAATAGCCAGGGAAACCTGAATCAACAACATCGACCAACAACCACCGCAGGCGTACCTTTCATGCTGCACCGCTAATTAGGATCCGCTGCTAACTACTCAAGGTCAGACGATAAAGAAATCAGTGTATGAAGGTATACTGAAGTCTGCAGTGCAATTTTAAGATATCAATACTACTGTAAAAAATTAATCATTTGCAATAATTGCCAAGCGTTAAATAAAAAACCGTATGTCATCTACAATTATAATGCGCCTTGTAAAAGTGTCATGATTGACTATTCATGAATTTACTGACTTGATGAATGCGAATAAATCCACGAGGTCTATGTAGCTCCCGTACAAAATCTTGGAAAGTCATATGTTCAACATAGCATAGTGCGCACTAAAGCCATCAACGGTAGGCCCATCTGATCACAAGGATGAGTGATTCAGGTAATTGGTGCTTGATCGAGAGTGATCCAGGAGTCTTTAATGAACTTATGTATGGGTTTGGTACGTACTGCTATATATCCGCGTGTATTTTCTGAAGGCGTTGATGGCCTTGATTGCATCGAAGTTTACGACACTCGCAATACGGATGCATTTAGTGACGCTCTTGGTCTAATTTTTTTATTCAAATGGGACGGGAACGGGTGGGACGCCTCGAAATCGCTAGACTATGCAGAGTCAGGTTCGATTTTCTTTGCGAAACAGGTTATTACAAATGCCTGTGCTACTCAGGCTCTTATCAATGTCCTTTTCAATTTGCCTCCCAATTCGCTGAAGCTCGGTGATACCTTAACCGATTTCAAGTCATTCGTTTCCGACTTCGATAGTCAGGTCTGCAATTTCAATCCTAATTTGTCGTATAGATGAAAGGTACTGCTCTGGCAAATTGTGATAAATTACGTTTGGCGCACAATAGTTTTGCCCGGTAGGTATTGGAACGATTCAGCTTCATTTCTTTGCTTTAAATAGGCCACAAGTTTTTGAAATTACCTTGAATAAGCCGTGCAAACCCGAAGACATCTATCACTACGTTGGATTTGTCCCCATTAGCGGTGCAGTTTATGAGTTAGATGGATTGGAACCACATCCCATTCGCGTTGCCTCCATCCCTGAAGGCACATCGTGGCTTGATGTAATCTTGCCAATCATCACCAAAAAGATGAGTGAATGTGTAGACGGTAGATTTAATCTAATGGCCCTTGTACCCAGTCGCCTGCAGATGTACGAAACTCGAGCAGCCGAATACCTAACCAACCCACCGGTGAGACCACGAACCCCTATATGGCTTATCTTGATGAGGCCTACACGCTAGCCTACGTATACTTATTTTTTTGTCCCGAAGGAGGATAAAAATCTGATCGACCAAAACGAGTACTGCATCTTTGCAGAAAGGGCAAGAATAGCTGAACAACGAAGTGAGAACAATCGTCGACGTCACAACTACCTCCCTTTCATCATGGAATTGCTCAAAGTTCTCGCTGAGAAGAACCTCCTCACAGACGTTGTACACCGTGCCAGAGAAAAATCTCAAAGTGTTCAGACCTCCACTAAGGCCTGACTTGGTCAACTTTCGGCCTTCCTTGTGCCCCTGCATATCTCAACGTTTTTCCTCATTAGTCATAAAATACATGGGCACAAAGAAAAGATGAGGTATTCCTTTATTAATTTAACAGGACTGATGGTGTGGGTCGTGTGTTCGTGGAAATATGCGATCGGTGAAAGCTCTCATAAACAGAGCGATGGGCGCGGTGATAGCAGTGAGAACGATTCCCAGCGCCAGCGCAAGTTTGTCCTCTGAGGACGAAGCGGAGCGAAAGAGGCGGACGAAGCGTTGATTCTGAAATGGCACACTGCGCACCCAGCCAGGAGCTGCAACCGCATCGTCTTCGAGGAAGAAGAAGGATGTAACAGTCTCTATGAGGCTTTGGTAACACCACGTCGAGCCGTTATAATCTATCGAATACATTTAAACCAAACATGTGTATGGAGAAATTAGATGGAGAAGGATGCCTACGATGTGCTTTTCTGATACTACTTACAGCCGTACATGTAGGTGAAAGCGCCAAAATCTTTACTAGGGGGACACTTCTTTAAACGATGACCGGTGAGGCCCATGAGGAGATGTGATACCACGTGAGAGACACGCCAACTGTGACCGTCCACTGGCTCATATGTCTGCATTGGGATAGGTCCCTTGAGACTTAGAAGGAAATTCACCACCTCGGGATCCAAATGCTGCGAATGATAAACAGCGATTGCGAGAGAAAATAGTTCGCTCGTTTCCTATTCTAATTAGCAGCCTCCAATACGCTTCCTAACAGCACCATATAGCACAATTTCGTTTCATGAGTTCATACATGAGACAAATGATTTGAAGTGGTGAAGAAGGTAACTAGTTTTAATCTCGGTGGCAAAGGATTTTCGTCCAAGACTCTAGTAACTAGAAATTGGGTAAGACATCGAAGATTGCCGATGACAAATCAGACAAATTCTTGCTGAAACTGACAGTGCTGATAAGATGATAGTGACTCAATCTTGATAATCATCAAGGCATCCACGTATATCCCTCAGCGGGTCAAGAAACCCAGCAGCACGTAATCATGCTACAATCAGACTGAATTGCTCCAAAACAGATGCAAATCTGTAGGGATTGAGGAATGCGAATCTAATGCTCAGTTCTTTTGTCGGCAGTAAGAGTAAACTTATTCCTGTTAGTAAAAGGTATTAAAAAAACGACCAAACATCAAAAGGCGGTTCAAAAAGTTGCACTTTTTTTACCTCCCAGCAAAAAAGTTGCAACATAGCAGGCAATGAGGAACATCAATCAGAGCATAATTTACCATTCGCAAAAGGTTGCAGCCAGGATCCTTGAGGAAACAGTTCATCAATTCAGCCGGTTTCACACCACTTATCGGTTCTGGAATGGGTAACGAATCTTCGGTGATCTCCTTGATAAGAAAGATTTTATTGTAAAATAAAATTAGAACTAAAAGGACGTGGGATAACTTGCAAATCCGAAAAAATTATATTCCAGTCTCAGAAGTAAATGAAGTGGTGACATCTAAAATGAATTAGCACGACTATCTTCATCAATGTGTAAGGTTTCCTCATTGTAAAACCAACTTCACCACTTACTCGGTGCAGCATATCGGCAAGCAGATTGGCTAATCGAAGGAGGTGCTCATTAGCTAAAGGGCTAGGTGGCCAGCGAGTATCGAGAAATGAGTCTACAAAAGTGTCCGCGAAGGGCGGAAGAGCCGGACGATCAGAAATGATGATGTGGCTGAGTGGGCGACCGTTTTGCATGAAATATTTAAGGAGTGGCTGTGTCGACGAGCTTGGAGGCAATAGTGTAGGAGAAACGATGCTGCCATTTAAAAAAAGGACTTCGTTGCCTTGACCGCCTGCTGAAGCATTCAGAGCACGCCAAATGGAGGATGTAATGTTGTCCGTCTGGAGCATCGATAAAATTCAATGACTTTGATAACTACTCTATGTTGCCCCTCCCCCCACTCGAGTGTATTAATAATCTGGTCAGAGAGCGAAAATCTACATTTAAATATTCTATTGCAATTGGAGAAAGGCCTGACGTACTAATTTACCAGTGAAGTAACTACAATGCATTAACTCCACCAGGTACTGAGTCTACAAAAGAGGACCACCTAGCTTTAATAAATAAATAAATAAATGAACAAGGACGTCAGCCGCCTAAATTTAACAAGGATGAGCTCCGATAAGTCAAAATCAATTCTACAGTGATCGTAATCAGATAGGCCAAGACACAAACAAACTCAAAGAATACGTTATTCCCTTTTTATGTTGCTTTAAGACAGACGCACCAAAATACTCAATGGCCAGAAATTCTAAGCCGCGATAATAGACTGTCATTCGAGAAGAAAGTAGCAAGACCCAAACCACCTCCAGCTATAGTGGCAGAATGCTGAAGTGGAGAGCAAGGGTGAAGCCCAACAGCAAAATGATATTGTTTGCTCAAATGCGAGCGATCTAACTGTGAGAGATCCTCGATTCTTCCCTATCGTAAAACAACACCAAGGCATCGCCTTTAGCTACTCGTGCCTTTTCAACATTCTCATTGTCCATCTCAAAACCTACTTTAAAGTGTCATTTCGCACAACGACCTTGGAGTGAGGCAAAATACTAAAACATCACTGACTTAAAAGGGTTTGAAAAATGCAGGTATCTAAATTGACAAGATAAGACGGTCAAGTCTTTGTAAAAGACTAAGTCCGCAAATCAACTACTGGAGAAAATTTATTAAACACGATCTTAAAAAACTCTATTCCTCAAATAATATGGATCTAACTGTTTAAAAGATACAATGATTTGCGGAGATACATTTCAGTATTCTGCTAATAAGCAGCCAAAATACCAGAGAGCATTTCCTACGCTTTTCAAAGTAATCGTTTCGAATGCAAATTTTAAAGGCATAAGAATACAGAACCACTTTTGCAAAAAGTGATGTTGCCATCAAACAAACTCCCGTATGACATGGGATTAAGATCCTATGCTCAATGGAGAATTCAGGGATTCAAAGGAAGAAATTATCTAATAAAAACATTCCAGAGAGAGGTCCATGACAAACTCACCTCACACATGGCTATATCAACACTTAATGTTAAAGCAAAAAACACCTACCTGTCGACTAATATCAGGATCAGAGAGAAGATAATAAATAGGAAGCTTCCTTTCATCCTCTTGGGGCAGACCAATATTCGCTAACTCAATGACAGACTCCACGGATTCTGCATTTAGAGGAAGACCTGATGCCTGCGCAATACGTTCGTGTGTGAGATCAAAAAGAAATCGCTGCGAGCCCATAAAACTCAAGGCCTCATTGTCCAAGAAGAGGAAAAACAGGTTCTTTCTCATCCTGCCGGCCTACGAGACAAATAATATCAAAGCGAGTTGAAGGTTTTCTTACCCTGATGTCTGGCTGATTTAGCAAATGAGCAGCTGCCGAAACCATCACACTGACAGCGGGCAAGACAGCCAGCGCGGAGGTCGCTCTGCGGTCAAACATGCTAAGAGCGTCTATGCGAGAAACCACCAGGAGAGTGGGATCTGGAGTTGTAGCGTTGGGATTGGTTGCCGTTAAGGCTCTGGCGCGAAGCATCAAATTCACTCCACCTATTTGACTACAGAATGAGGCTAACTAGCAGAGTTTTTAGCATACAAACTTCTGGTTTGTTACCTCAAAGTGGTGACTTAAAAGAACCTCACGTGAGTAACACGTTTGAGAAGACTTCACAGCAGACATGAAGTTCCTAATTTCCATATAACACCGTGTGTCATCACTAGGATTCACATTATATGAATTATAACAATCGGTAATGTTATTCCATGTCTCCGTATCGCTCCCTTCTGCAAGAACGACAGGAAAAGGCCAAGAAATTGTGGCATACTCAGAAGCTGGAGGATTCCACTTCGGATCTCCATCACACAAGTGCCGCGATTCATTATAAAATGTTAAATCGCCATTTGGGCAAAAAGTATTCTCGGAAAAACCCGAAGGGTACTCAAAAGTGGAGTTGGGAAAACTAGGTGAAAAAACGAACAAGCCGGCCACGTTTTCGGAACGGCGCAGGAATAAAATAACGTCTGGAGTGATAAATAAGTGCAGCGGAATGACAATCATAAGGTTCAGAAGACTAAAGTTGACGTGTTCTTGCAAATGAGTAAAGTTATCTGAAATCAGTACTTCACCAACACTGCTGGGATATTTTGAAGAACATCCAACAAAAGAATCCACACTCAGTTTTCTAGAGCAGTGAGAAATGCTTCTGTCCGGAATTTCATAAAAAAGTTCAAAGCTCATTGTAAGAGGAAGGACGCAGAATGCAAGTGGTAGAGGCAATCTTAACATATTCTACGATGATAATAACAGCAGTGCCTCACAGACAAATTCCATACAATTGCAGTGCTGATAGCCTCATGAAAATTTCCTTCTAATGCGTATTAACACCAAAGTAAGGGTGGAGTTTTAAAAGCAGAGAAGATTTCAGGATTAATATTGGTCACGTAAAACTTCTCACAAATAATAGCATTGCAGAGAAGGAACACTCAATTTTCAATGCTTGGTAGGGTCGGGCATTTCCGATGTACAAAACACGCTAGACATTTCTGCCGTGTGCATGCATGCAAATAACTGCTCGTTGCATTGAGATAAAATTAGAGACCCTTTAGACTCACTGAATCGACTTTCTAAAGTTACTTATAGTAGTAGAATTGGAGGATTTATTTTGTCAATCTCAGCTGTGCTAAGACCTAGGACGACAATGCAACATTTTAATATGAATTCTCTGTTTAATCTTAGATGACTGTAAACATTATTTTGAGCCCATTTTCGCCATCAAATGCGCATATTTTGCATTCTTTGATATTGTTTGTTGCAGAACTATGCTCTAATTTTTTGTGTCCCATTTTTACCTAACTTAAAGTTCTAGAAATGTGCTGAACTCTAGCTTTAAATCAGATGTATATGGTGGACAAAATATACATATTTCGTCATAAATTTCGTCATCTGCTTACATCTGCCTGCCATTTTAATGTCTGCGCACTAACTAGGCTTGGCGTATTTTAGCGGGAGGTTTTATAGTTTGCTTGATCACAGGGCATCGGCTTTAATTTGTAAATATATGCATCCTATGGGTTTGACTTTACCGTTTTTCTCTCGTTTGATGTCTTCTTGTAATGTAATTAATGTCTTAAACTAGCAGGTTGTGAGTCGGTATGTGATGTCGGAATCACAAGTCGGCGGCAAGTACGCACAATTCTTCCACGTCACTTTAATGCTCCTTTAAGAACTATAAGAAGTCAGCACTCTTATACGGTGTTGTCAATTATACTACTCTTAATCCAATGCGTCCTAAACATTCGTCACCTCACTCACAAATGTGCTCTCACTACGTTCATCGTCGTTCTACTAGTTACGGCGCATGTATGCGGACTACCTGCTCTAGCAGCGAAGGTAAATCCTACACTTTCGATTACTGATTTTTTTAGCTTTCAGCTGACTTCTCCTCTGTTTTGGTTCATGGAAATTTGATGCTTCTTCTATTAGCGTCTTTGACCCATAGAGACGAGTGGCATCTCTACTACTGCCTTGCATTATTTATACGCTATGGTGTAGCAGCAGAAAAGCACTTTCGGGAATTTGATTTCCTCCTTTATCTGTTTGTTCTCACTTTCGCGTCTGGCGTTATTAGCTTGGCCTTATATCGACTCGCTTTCCTAATTAGTGGATATGAGAAATATAATAACGCCCAAGTTCTTGGGTTTTCGGGTAGGATTGTGGTTTATTTATCTTATTGCCATTTTATATGTGTATTATGTCAAAATTATCAAAATGTTTAGCTTTGAAATGCAAGGGTATATGTTTTTACAATTCTGATTATACATAGAATTTTATCATTCACAGATCAAGCAACAGTAGGTATAAAACATAAGTACTGCTCCCCCCTTTTTTAAGGGATGTTCATTTAATAATATTCTAGGTACTCATAGAGATCAGCATAAAATAATTTGCCAATGTGGGCCAACTACTCAATTTATTACAACGAAATTTAACTTAATTTTAATTTAGTTTGGCAAGCAATTCATACTAAGATGATCCCGAAATACGAGCGCTAAGAACTCCCAATGAAGTGTTTTGACTCTCACCTAAGACGCTTGTTTAGAGTCTCCCATTGAAGGCTAAAAGGCAACAGCATAAGATAAGTAGTCGAAAATTGCGTGTGTGAAGTAGTGGTTATCAGTGGACGACAGAGGTAATGGATGCAATTACTATGAGTTACATCTTTAATTTTCAACGCAAATGACAATGAACCAATGTAAGGACTTGCGTTCATGAAATGATTAGTATCAATGGTGTGTGTGAAGGAAGCGGGCTTGAACTCCCTGCCTGTTGATCTCTCTACACGCTGAGTAGTTTTCCAGTTACTCCACGGTATAACGCGGAATGCAAGTGTCTAATTGACGCTGTCGAGCAACACTTTCACAGACGGCATCGACAAGTGTGGTTATTAACAGATGAGCAAATTTTAAAGACGAAGTAACATTGAGGCAGCAGACATAACTGCATATGTGTCTATAACTCCGTCCTAATATTACGCCTTCTCATTGCATCATAGTAGTTCATTCTTTTGGTGTGCTTGTACCAGAATCTCAAACATATCAGATATTGGCCCGATGTGAACCTTGCTGTGTGGTCTAAGAGAGGGCTGATATATTTTATGGTTATGGCATATGGCGCAATTTTAACCGTTGGCATAGACTGACAAAAATAGATTTGTGCAGAGACAGCGACAACACTGGGTGTACTATACTGCCTCAATGCGCATGGAATATTCAAGGAGTTCTGCTTACCTTGGGGTCATCGTTTGAAAGTCACCAACCGCTTCCAACGATGGCTCTCCTTCTTTCTGTCCGATATTCGACGCCTTCTCCAATTTCCTATGGGTTAGTACTTCTAACGCGAGTCTTCGCTACTACTGTACCCGACAATCACTATGCTAAACCTCCTACAGAAATCGTACGAGATTCCCCCTTACACACACCTATAGTCTCTACATCTTGCTCTGCTCTGCACTTAGGTTTAAGTTTACTACGGATGCTATTCGAAAACCTCAATTGATATGATGTTTGTGAGGCGTTGTTATAGTGCGCAGCACTAAGAAATTATCATTTGACTTCCGTCACACGTCATGTCTCAAAGCTAACTGCAGTTGCATTTACCGTCGCTTTTTCCATGCTACGGCGATAGTACAGAGCAACTTCGGTGAAAGCAATGCACCCCCACAACCACTGTTTACTTGCCTTGTAAATTACTTTATTGAGAGTTGTTACGCAGTGGTTAGTTCTTGTTTTTCTTCCAAATAGCATGACCGAATGCTTTGCTAGACGATTTGCAAAGGCTAAGGCGTGCTCTAAGCGCATCGGTCAGTTGGAATCGCAACATTGCAAACTGGATAATTCTGCGCTACTATATCGATTGCCTTCTATTTCTTTTAGGATTCCTCAATCCCATCCTTGCTGGTTTGATGTGCTGGTTCCTATTCGAACCTCTGAGATGGTCTCGACGTCGGTTGCCCCTCGCAGCCTAAATTCGCCTTACCTGCTGCTGTCAGCCCTGCCTTTTCCTCATTCTCTCGCTTTGCTCTATCTCCCTTCCTTCCTCTTTCTCGACCATACCAACAGTCGGAACATTTTACAGATCGTGTCCACCTAGTGTGCCCACTGATCGTGTCAGTGGCAGCAATTGTCTCAATTCTATCGTTACACATGCGCACATATAGCTGTAAATTCACGTGAAAAGATAAATCTGTCGAATTGGTGACCATCTCGTTTATATATTTCTGTTTCGCTAACTTCGGTACTCATTAGCTCAGTTATTGGACCAGAAAAATAATGTATATCTGTAATGCTAATGGCGGTGCTGCTGGGACTGACAGTGGTGGTGATTACTAACTGGCGGTCAATAGTGTGTTTGCATTGCTCATCACCGATTAGTCGCAAGGCACAAAGGTGGAGTTGTTACGTTGGCTACAAAATGGCTCCATCCTGGGGGCGAACTGAGGCGCAGCGACAATAGGGACAACGCCGGCTCGTCGTAGTAGCATTGGTATTAAAACCTATGGAATGCACACCAACGCTCAAAGTGGTTTAGGAACAAGGAATAAAAGGGTTCAAGAACAAGGCATTTGTAAGGTAGAACAAAAATTTGAAAACAGCCATATCATTCAAAATATCAGCCACACCTACTTGAAAGTAACATGCCATTTCAATGTGTACGAAGTTTACAATGAGCAATTCAAGAAAGATTTATGTGCAAGGCTTGGGAAGGAGGTAGTCTCAAGGGCAATTTAGGCAGGTAAGAAGAGACTCAATTTTTCCAACCACGTGCCGACCAGGCAGACGCGCCAAATCGACCTTGCGGAAGGCAAATTGACCGCAGCCAAAACTATCGTTGCGCCCATCAGACGAAGTGGTAAGAGTGGACCGCAACATATCTCCATCACTTACCAGATTCGTCAGATTGCTTTGCGTAGCCTTCGCGGCCAAGAATTCTAGGCCTTCAGGGTAGCTGGAACCGCCTCGAATACAGACAATTCTATAAAATGCCGGACACCAAAACCATGCATAATCGTCATCCAACCCTTACTATACATAGGACAAAAACTCTAAGCTTTGTTCTCTTCCGCGTTTGAACCGCAGAAAGTTTATAACAAGCGACATGGTATCGCCGTCCTCCTACGCCATCGTGATTTCTAACATGAAAATGGCTGCGGATCAGCGCCCAAAATGAAAATAAAAACCTCGGACTACGATTATTTCATAGAAAAAAAAATTATACACCAATTTCCCTACCACTCCTAATTTAAGTCTACCATCGGATACATAACTAGAGTCGGTTGTCAAATAAGGGGCAATGCAACCCGTTTGACAGCTCTTATAGGGTTAGTCTTGCGAGTCCTTCAACTAACCTCGCTTTCCTGATGCTGATTGCTCTGCATTAGGATAAGTATGGTTGACGGCTAATAGCTTACCGACTACCAGAGCGACAAGCTAGAAGCAAGGCGCTCGAGGGATTATCCACGGATGGAGCAGAGGAGCAACCCAGTTGAATCCAGCCAAGAAATTTTGAAGCAATTCCTTGTATAGTAAGCATTTGATTTCTTAATTCCTACAAAGCAAGGCATGGGAACGGATATCTTCTGTCTACCTATCTGCCACCTGCCTACAACGCCATGGCATGGAAGTGGAGTAGGGGTAAGGAAGGGAGTGACTCCATTTTTTGCCTATGAAAAGAAATAAGGTGAGTAGCAGGCTGCAACATACGTCAGATTTCATCGGACGTTACATGTTGCGTCGCCTAGACAGCACAACTATGGATTTAAAGTATTTTAAAGAGGGCTGAGAGAATGAGATCATCCTAACAAGAGGATGCGACAAAGAAAGAGTGAATGTTGAAAAAGCCTATTATACACAAAGGAGAACAGTCACGGTGTAATTAGGTGTAACAGACAGCTGTACAGAACTCAATCGGTGCTCTGTTCATGCCGCGATTGAATTAAGAAAATGAAATGTTACTACGTTGGATAAAGCAAATGCTTTTAGTACCTTTGTATATGTTCCATAAGACAAATGGAGAATCGATGAGTGAATAGCAGAATGAATGCTTGGGCGATTCGATGCTTTTGTTCAACAGACTAACTACTCGTTTGAATATTAATTCATTCACAAAAACTGCTCCCCACTGGGCACATTAGTAGAACATATAAAATGCAAAACAATGCCGGCGTAAACATCAAGAATGCTTCATTGCGTATCTAAAGAGCTCACCAGCACAAAAGCGATCGGATTGTTGTCTTAAACACAAACACAGTGTTGATCGAGTCTGGTGGAAAAAAATGCGTGATCCAAACGAGACTAGGTCACGAGACAAATAAAAAATAGCTTAATCTTCGTAGAGATTCCTTTTTTATATTTGCTGTTTGGCACGGCAAGGAGTCGAAAAAGGGTATCATCAAGCGGAGAGTTCAACTCATCTCTCTTAACACGTCAAAGACAGATTCGAACTTTATTTCGAAGACCATTTATCCTGCGTAAGGGGGAAAGGGAGGGAAGACCAGACCTCAACGCTCGCTGGGTATAGTTGAATAAGTGATGAGCAAATGATCGCGCCTAACATCAACTCACCATAGCTAAAGTGATGCAATCTGGCAGCGCCAGTGCCAGCAACCATCGCAGAAAAAAACTTTCTATCCCACAGTAAATGGCTTCCAACCACTTCTAAATTTGGCTGTGATAAGAGCTAAGTTCCGGTCAGGAAAGCTGAGAGAACGGAAACAAAAAACGGAGGAAAGTATGTAAGGAAAAGTACTGTAATGCCTCACCCCATCCTCGCTTCGTATTTCCTTCAAGTTATTTCGTTAAAACTCATGTAATCGACTTTTTGGCATTAGTAACCAACACTGAATAGAAAACTGGATCGACATATAATCAGGGTAAGTTGGAGGATGCAGGTAAAGCTGGCAAAGACTTGATTTTTTTACACTCCTCGATAAAAAAACACCCAATAGAAGGCGAAGTCGTGGCTGACTTTATCGTTTTGAACGCGACTGACTGACATCAAGGCTACTTCGACAAGCAAAATAATTAAGCAGTTCCCTGAAATCATACCAACCTTACACAGTGGAAGCTACAGTATATGAAAAAGCTAAAATGTGACAAAAAAATTCGCCAATTGCAGACAGCTTCCAGTCACTAATTCCAAGTTCAAATGAAGCCAGACAAATGAACGAGATGTGCTTAAAGTGTTTCGTAAATGAGGTAATGATTGGGTTGAGATGAGAATAAGAACGACTAGGATCAGAACATTAAATGCGTAACATGATCGAGTGGAGAGGAACTTACCTGCCTTTTTAAAATTCTTAGCAGTTCGTTCTGCAAGTCTGCAGTAGCGGGTATTGTGAGCGATTGAGCAGCTTCACATACTCCATAGACGGAGATGGACTCCACACCTACACACACAGTCATTCGAGTGCGGAAACTTGAGTAGCCCACAGAATTGAACGTCACACTGACCCCAGAAGAAAGTGGAGAGGCAATGCTGTGCCATAGAGTAGTCACGCACATTCCCACCGACGCCGTCACTGTTCCATCCCCACCACCACGAGCAAATTGTGTCAAGCAACGCGCCACCCGCTGTCTCAGCACCCTATGTCGCGCCAGCCTCACTATCTGCATCAACAAACCGTCTCCTGAGCCGAGAATACAGGCAATGGCAGCGGGAGATGCTTGACTTAATCGTAGAGCGTGCTCCAGCCCACTCAACGTCAACCCCGAAGACGTTACCTCATCCATAGAAGCTGGTACAACCTGATGCTGTTGTTGTTGCTGTTGGACGTGCCCGCTCCCCCAGTCGTTAAAATATGCATAACGCTCCTGTCCCACTGGTATAGCAAATGCTTGATGAGGGTTGCCAGGTAATGACCCGGAGACGGAGCGGAAGGTCTGGATCTGCGATGATATCCAAGCAGAGGCCGCCGGACCCCCAAATCCTGCAACACAGGCGGTGATTATGGGCATCCCACCATCTCCGTTTCGATTTAGAGCATTACGAAGCGTAATTGTTGCCCCTGCGGCACGTAAACGACGGGGAACTTGAACCGGACCAGTGGGGGGGTTAGGCACACTGGCAATATTTGACCAGGAATGGATATGCTGATAAAAGAGAATGCGCTTTAGTTGAGTACTAAGGCCTGGATGATTTTCCTCCTCCTCTTCATTGCATTCGTCATCAACCCTTCTCTCAAGTCTGACCGAAAGCTGGACTCCAGGTAATACAGTAGCAACGACCTTCCCCTAAAAATAAAGTAGCCACTGAATATTTGGAAGTATAGTGCCAGCCAATTTTTGCCAACTAACGAGAGACGAAAAAGCCACCAAGTCGTTTTTGGTCTCATCCATCCCAATCATTGAAGCCTCATACGAGAGAGTCGACAAAATTTCTCGACACATGAGTAGATTTTGAGCTAGACATAGTCGATCAGATTGGGACATTGGTGGAGAATAAGTATACGACACTGCATTGGCTCGAATACATGGCTTCAGGAAATGATACCAATTGTTTGGATGTTTTGAGTTCAGATGCCTGATTACAACACGAAGGCGTCCAGTACAAAGATCCTTGTTGAGCAATGACTCCATCGTACTGCTAAACTTCACCTGCGCATCATAAAAACAACTAAAGGATGACAATCTAACCTTAGTAACATCAAACAGACCGTTAGAGTCGAATTTGGAGTAGTCAGATTCGAAAACCTCAAAATTACCACCTTCTTTGGCACGCGAACCGATACAGCGGAGGCTTGCGTCTCCCAGAATAACGTTTCGCCCCAGTTTGAGGCGCCATGACTTTCGTAACTGCATAAGTCCTTCATGGTAAAGGATGGACTTTTTACCATCTGCAAAACGCTGCTCGGCTTGAGCAATTTCGACGTGCCTTGAACGGAACCGCTCCGCCCCTTTTAACAGAATGCTACTGGCAGCAGCAAGAGCCTAGTTTACAGGTCAATGGAAATAGCTTCCATGCAAACCATTTTCTTCCCACTAAGACAGGTGATGGTGTGCAAACCCACATTGCACCCTGTAGCGTCCATATCATTGTCCTGATCACTGGGAGCGACTTGACAAAGAGAGAGACATTTAGTCTCCTTTAGGACGGCCATGAGTTCAATAAAAGCACAGACCTCCGTGTAAGCACTCCTAGCATTTATGCAGAATTAAACGAGGGCCCCTAGATACCTGATTTGATCTCGGAGAAGTTTCCACGTTTTATCAGGAATCCTGAAGCCAGCATTCCTGTCTGACGTCCCAATTGAGGTCTGTTTCCCAAAATTCTCGTCAGAAAAATCAATACCATTTACAATCCTTTGGAAGTTTTCAGCTGCAGTCAAAGGTCTAAAGGCTACGTATCTGATAATAAAAAATAAAACCTTTCTACGATTTCTTGCCCATCATTTAGAATCTCAAAGACTTTAAATTCACAAAGGGCTTCAATGGGCAAGCAATTTTTCCCCTTCCCTTGCATTTCGACCAAATAGACCTTCAGGCCCCAGCACCTATCAATGCTGGCGCCAGAACAGGCGAGCATGTCAAAGAGATGGGTAAACTAGTCGAGCTACTTAAAACGCACTTTACTCAGTCGATGCCATTAGAGCTGCAATTTATTATTTTGTTCGGAAAGCGCAATAAGTTGACTTTACAAATGTAAAAAAGTTAGCTGCTGATGGTGCCCAAAAGCGTCTACCAATTTATTCGATGGGACGAGTATCTATTAAAGATATTTTGCCCTTAGGGCTATTTTAGTAGCCTCAATTATTCTGTGTCGAGTGTATACATTCTGCCATTGATAGCGCTCGCCTCCATTTACACAGATGTTTCGCAAGCTGCATCTTTTGCATGTTTATAAAAGAAAATGTCTCCC